TCTTAAAGGGTTAAATTGAACTGTACATGTCACTAAAAGTAGAACAACACAGACACCAAAGAGCACCAATGTTATAGAAGTGAGGGCAACAACTTGTCCAACTAGGTTTTGGGGACCCGGAGCCTATCCCAGCTGACTTTGGGCACCAGTCTCTCCCATTTTGTTGCTTTTGGATTTGTTAGTTTTCCTTCTCAGACATTGGATCACACTTTGAATCCAGAAGCAACAAACATATTCAGTGTTTCATAGAAAAATAACATCCTGTTTTTAGAAGTGCATTCATCATGAAAGATGCAAAATGAGGAAACGGCAGCAAAGAAAATGTTAAAAATCAAGTCAAGCCAAAGCATGAATTGCTTCAAATCAGAGAACGATGATCGATGACCTTTACAGAGAAACGTGCTGGTTGAAAATGTCCAAGGATTCGTTTGAGGAAAAAGCTGTCACACGAAACTTTTGATATCAAGTGTAGGAGGGTAAAATCTCTGTTTTGTGGGGGTTTGGTGAGTTTTTCCAATAAAAATTACATATTCTGTCCATAGATGAGAGAAGGCTCGAGGTTTTGAGGGCGATTTGAGATTTTAAAGCTCTACATTTCTGCTCACTGGTCCTTCCTTTGCAAAACTATCCTTAAAAGCTCACAGAGGGTTTCTCTTTGTGGGCTAAACGCCAGTTTTACTAAAAATATATCCTCAAAGGTTGTTGGAGGTGGTGTGTGGGAGTGTTTTCCACCTCCGTCTCCCATCCACTCTCCTCATACGGTAGTTACTGAAATCCATTGTCCTACACGCCGTGGGCTCCTGCAGACAAAAGCTAAAATTCAAACTCTGTTCTTAGATGCGGAGAAATGAAAGCACCAAAGGCTCTTAGTAAGAGATGGAAAGGTCAAGTGAGATAAGTAGAGTAATAGCACAGTGCTGCTTTTTAATTTTACGTCCTCTTAATGGGTCATTGTTTCTGCTAATGTCACCGTCCTGGTGGGTCATTAACTCATTGAGGTGACTCACAGGACACAAAGGGCTCCGACATTTGTATTAAAATGTTCTTCGCAGTGAGAGAAACAAAGATGTGAGTGGTTACAGCTACAGGTGATAAACAAACAGCTTCGAGCACCTTTAGTAGAAATGGATCATTAACAAATTGTCAGTGGTGAGTTTACAGCATTCCTGCTGCTTCTAAGCACTCAAATATTTATTATTGTGAATTTTCTGTATTAGCCTCATGACTGTTTGTTGATGCAGGTTACAAACCTTTAACGAGACGTTTAAATGCCGTGTAGTTCTGGCTTTTGAATAGAATAGAATAGAATTCAACTTTATTGTCATTGCACATGCACATGCACAGGGCAACGAAATGCAGTTTGCATCCATCCAGAAGTGCTTTTCAGTGATATAGATATATTACAATATATATTAGCAATGTCAGAGTTTTGTCAGAGAACTTCAGATATTATAGTCAATCTCAAAACTTTTTAAGGATTTCTAAAACGTGCATGCGTCACTTTCCGATTCTTTCCTTTGTCAGACATCCTGTTGTAGATTTCCTGCTGTGCTTAGGATCATTGTCCTGTTGCATGACTCAGTTTCAGCTTCATCTGTCAGACAGACTCACACTAGACTCTAGAAAACTTTGTTATACAGAGGAGTTCTCGGTCAACCCAGTGACTGCAAGGTGCTCCAATCCTCACCCCAACATCACCTCAGACAGCTGGTGTTTGCTGATATCGTGTGTTTGGTTTCTTTTGTTCTGTTTTGTTCACATGCAACTTTGCAAACCTACGATGTGCTTCAGTATCCTTTTCAGAGAGAAGCGGCTTTCTCCTGGGAACCATTTCAAACAAACCATAGTTGTCCTGTCATGAACTTTCACCTTTCATGCATGACCACGCTCTCTGTCTCATTTCAGACATTACCCCAAGACGTCCTTCACCATCGTGGCCGACACTCCAGAGAACCTGAGACTGAGACAGCAGAGCGAGCTGCAAAGCCAGGTAAACACACACACACACACCTCAGATGTGTGTACGATGCAGGAGCGCCGCCATCATCTCTGACCTGCTTTGATGATGATGATGCCTGTAGTGTTCGTCTGGTTGGTTTTTCCCTTTGAATGATGCCAGG